AGGAGGACCCGAGCTATCCTCACAACCGTCCGGTTGTGCCGCCGACGACGCCGCTTCGCGCGCAGTCAGACGGCGCGGAGTAGTGGCGCCAATGCCCTCATCGGTATGAATACGACACGAATTCAGCCGCCCGTGAATTCGCCGCCGTTGTCGATGTGCAACACGTGCGACTTGCGGCCGCGACTCCTCCGCAGCAAAGACTGCAAGCGCTTAATGGCGTCCGCAGCCTCCCTTGTCGCCGAGGACCATCACCCACATGTAGCGGGAGAAGTCGCCGACGAGCGCGGGAAGTAGCGTCGTCCTCCCGATGTGGCCGGTGTCACCGGGCCACACAAGTCCCCGCACGAGCTCGAGCCTCTCCTTGGCTCGAAAGCTCGCCTCGCCGAGAAAGGGGGAGTTGCCTCTCGCGTCAACACGCAGACGCCGCAGAGTCGCTTCCACATGGTCGAGGCACGGCAGCCTCGCACCATCTCCATGGCACTAAGCCGCCTGTGGCTTCGGTGAAGGTGCCCGAACGCTGCGTTATCATCGCCACGCCTCGTCGTCCCGACGAGCGGCCGAGACAGAGGGGTTGTGCCACCGCACGTTAAGGACGAGTCGATTTGGCGCTTCGATACCTTGGCAAGAAGGCGACGACGACGATCCCAAATCCTCATGACTCCGCCCTCAACCACCACGCTGAACCGTTCTCATCCAAATTGTCCCAAGCGATGATGGAGTTCCTCAACGCGGGATGTAGTAGACTCCGTGAGCGGCTGCGCTCACCGTGACACCTGCAGCAGTGAAGATGATGGAGCCGACGCCTTGATCTCCACGCCGAGGCATCCCCAAACTTGATGGAGCCTCGGACGCTAGAGTCAAGCTCGGTGAAGAACTCCCGTCGACCGGTCATGTGATGGGTGGCGCCGTGTCGAGGCACCACCCGCCGGGCCTTGTCGTTGCTTGGAGCCGCCGCCGAGGAGGGCGGTGCTTTTGGCTCGCTCAAGGTGGAGGAGAGCCGCCGCGGCGGTGCCACCGGAGGTAGCTCGATCTTCGCATGTGCCATGAACAGAGCCGGCGCCTCCTCCGCCGCTTTGTCGACGACGTGGGCTCGGCCGCGTCGTGGTTGCCGACGATCCCTGGCCCAATGGCCAAGCCGGCCGCAGCTGCGGCGGTGTCGTGTCGCTCGCGTCGGGCTTTAGCTCGCGCGCCGCCGCCGCGCCGCCTGCTGGCATCACCCTCAAGACGTCCTCGCGCCCGGCTGGCGTCTCAAGCGCTTTGCGCGCTGCTTGCCACGCTTATGTCACTGTCGCGGAAGAAGGCTCCCCTTCCTCCTCCGGTCCACCTTGGCCGCAAGCCACCGCTCCCGAGTGAGAAGGAGCTTCCGCCCGGTGGTGATGGGCCCCGAGAGGGATCAGGACTCATCGCTTGCCGACAACCTTGAGGCGACCTATCGCCTCCTCGATCGACATCGTGGAGAGATCCAATGAGAGACTCGATCGAGCGAGCCATCTCGCTTGTACTTCTCGGGGCGCAGCGGAAGAGCTTTTCGACGCCTCTCTCGCTCGCCGTAGGTGTCGCCGCCGAATCGCACCATCTTCGCGCAATGCAGTATTGAGACGGAGAGCAAAGTCATCAACGCCCTCACCGGCTTGAAGGCTGTGTTCTCCCACTCTCGCGGCGCTCGCAGGTGGACTTCGGGCGCGCGGTCATCGCCGATGCGTGCCGCAATGATGGCGCCCCAAGCCTCCTTGGCGATCCGCTTGTCGGTAAGCGAGAATCGCATCTCGGGGGGATCGCAGCGATGAGAGCATCCAAATACCGTCGATCTAGGTCGTAGTCGACGCCGCCGCATCGGACCGCCTCCCACATGTGCCGCACTGAGCTTTACCTCATCACCGCAGCCCACTCGACGTAGTTGGTCTTGGTGAGGGTAGGCCACCCACCGCCGGACCGACGTCCCGACAATACCGGAGCCCGTGGTAACCACGGCACCGATCCGGAAGAGAGCCACGCCGCCGCGTGAAGGCCACGCCTCCATCGACCGTCGGTACCGATCCGGGAGAGAGAGCCACGCCGCTCGTGAAGGCCGCGCTCTCCATCGACCCGTCCGCCACCGCTGCCGTCGCGCGCTCCTCCAGAGCGCCGCCGCCGTCGCGCGCCTCCTCCAGAGCGCCACCGCGCGTGTCCGCTGCCGTTTAGGCTGCCGCCATTGCTGGTGGGCGCGCGCGCCCCAGAGCGCCACCACCGCGCGCGCGCTTCCTCCAGAGCGCCGCCAGCGCATCCGCGCTGTCGTTCTGCCGCCGCCACGCTGCGTGGCGTCGCGGCTGCTTATCATCGCGCCGCCCAAGCTTCATACCGCTCCTCTCTAGCAGCTCGAGGTCCGCGTCGGCGGTGTCGCCGCCGAAATGGAGCTGCCGATCTTTGCGCCAGCAGACGACCTCCACCTCCGCCGCCAAGACGCTTGCCGCATTCGCCGCCGCCATTGCTTCCGCCTCATTCCTGCTGCCGCCAACTCCGCTGCGCCACTCGGCGCTTGCCGCTTTGCCGCCAGCCGCCCTCGCTTCCCTTCGCTGCTGCAGCAAGTTCGGCCTCTCCGACGCCTCGTGCTCGAGGTGACCGAAGGCCGAGATCGCCTGCGGGACATGACGCGCTACCGGGACTGCCAGCGTGGGAGAGAGTCGCTTGACGAGCCGCCGCTCTCGTCTGCTGGGAGGAGTGAGCAGCGAGGCGGCTGGGCTGCCGCCGCACTGGGTCAAGTAGTGGTGGTGGGAGGGAGATGAGAGGAGAGATGCTCAAAGCTGAGGATAATAGGGCTCGATACTGCTTGTTAGTCGTTGAATTCTCACTCTTGGTAGTAGGAGAATTCTTACTCTCATCGAGAGAGAGGATGACACTAGGAGTTGGGGCAATTTTCTTGTCTATTTCTCACACACTCACTCAAAATGCCATACCAACCCGAGGGGTTGGGGTTACATATTTATAGGTCGCTAGTCACCCAAGCATATACCAAGATGCTAGTCTAAGATGCTAGTCTAAGATGCTAATATGTCATTCCTAGCTAAGATGTCATCCTCTAGTCTAAGATGTTGTCCTCTAAGATACTCGTCCTCTAGTCTAAGATGTCATCCTAAAAATAAAAAACAGCCACAAGGACCATGTGAGCAAAGACAAATTTCACAAAGACCAAACCACATGAGACTTATACATCACTCGGAAAGCGGACCATCTGGCTCGCCATGGATTCAAAGACGCACACCCCCACCCGGCGCGCCACCGTCGGTCGTTTAAATAGGTTCAAAGAAGCTCTACCGAGGGGTATGCCCACGGTAGTAGATGAATCGATGGAGGTGCGCGTGAAGGAACCGGATAGTGACACAGAACGCAAGAGACAGCAATTAGGCAGGTTCAGGCCGTCAGCTTGACGTAATACCCTATGTCCTGTGTCTTTGTGGATTGTATTACGAGAGATTAGATGAAAACGAGGGGGGTCCCTACCCGCCTTATATAGCTCGGGGGGTAGGGTTACAGGTCGGTTGTTTCTATCCTGATCAGTTTACAATATAGGAATTATAGAGATTGCGGAATCTTGCATATCCGAACAGATCATCCTTGATCGCCAAGGATCTTCACGTAGTCTTGCGAGGCACGCCGACCTGTGTCGTGCTCCGCGCGGCGTAGTCTTGCGGGCTGGGCCTCCCCTAGCGGCTCGGCCCATGTACAGCCCTGTGGGTATCGGGGTCATCCCCCCACAATGTCCCATAACCCTAGTTCAAGAAAGTTTGAAAAAGAACAGCCTGCCATTACCCACAGCTACCAGTTTTGATATCTCCTGGGAATGTGACAAGCTGTAGAAGGTGACAAGGTTGGCCCCAATGCCTCATGTTTGGAAATCTCTGAACTAGTAAGGAAACGGGTCGGCACTGGGAAGAAGCTGTATAAGGATCGACTACCCAGCTAGCAGGCATGAAAGATAGTCCAACTTAACTGATTAATAATCTTACAACAAATGGACAAATTGTGCAACTGTTGCCTGTTCAGGTTTAAAAGTGGATAGGGAAGCTATGGAACTCAATAATAACACCATTGTAAGAAAAGCTGAAAACGATAGCTGCAGAGGGCTGTCAACAGTGAACAGAGGGTGATAAATCTGCCAAACTATACCACAAAAGGAGCAATGGGCATATTATGCGGCATCCGATGCTTTTGCCAAAACAACAAAAACTTATTTCTGGATTTTTCCTAAATTTTAAAATCCTATTTTCCATAAACAAATAATAATAATTTCACTACCAAAAAAAATCAAAATTTGAAGAAAAAACTAAAAATGATTGAAATGGCTCCTAACTTCCTAGTGTCCCTTGCCTTCTGTAACACATGAGGCTTTCTAAAATCAGTTCCCAGCCCAATATTAACTTCGAACGAAGATCCCATAAAAAATCATCGCTTCTCTCTTAAAACACAACCCACCCTAGACCAAGCCCACTTTTTCATTGACACCCCAACCCTGCTCCCTCCCCTTTTCGGGTTCCAGCGAAGGACCCTGGACCCTCCCTCCCTCTACACTTTACACCTTCTCATTGAACAAGTGCCCCACTCAAAACTTCCTCACCATAAGCCCTTAAGTTTTATTTTATTCTTCTCATTTGTAACCATAAGCTCTATATAATTATGGACATTTTCCTTCCCTGTGATTTGATACAATCATCAAAAAATAAATGAATATGAATTGAATATTTTCATTTCCTAAGTAGAATTCAGGCACTATGGGGCTCCAAAGAGCCTTTATGGAAAATAGATAAGAAATGCAGAAGTAAGAAAATTACAGGCCACAAGATAGAATGGTGTGGATGTATGATTGAAATATTAGAAAGTCATTCTAAATATGGGGTTTTTACACTGTCAACATGCCTATTAGGACAGTAAAAATGGTGTGTTTGACAATTCATAAAGCAATAGCCACAAAAAATAAAACTGTACTCTAGGAAGCTTGCTGTTCAATCAACAGGCACATAACAGATTTAAGGATATACCTTAAGTTCTTCTGGTGCAGGATGCCACTCTGGTGGCCCATTATCTGTTAAAAGACCCATGGAGAGGGGAGAAGCACTGATAACCCCAACACCTTTGCTCTTCAAGTAGGGGAGCAGTTCAACAAGGGAGGTGTCATTAATCCCGTAGTGGCAGTAAGATAGAATCAGGTCCACCGAGCCTGGTGCTACCCGGTCGAGGACATAAGGGTAGATGCTGAGGGGCAGCCCGGTGATGCCAATGAACCGTGCCTTCCCACTCTCCTTAATCTTCTGGAGTGCGGGAATTGTCTCGTTCACAATCTACAGCAAGAATGAGTGTCAGTGTGCCCAGATTCCGGGCTCAGCTCACTGCACGGGAGCCTGGCAATTCGTCAAACAGGTGGTGAGCGGAAGCCGTAATCGGGACCGGACCTGGTCGAGATGGGTGAACTCGATGTCGTGGGCGTGGAGGATGTCGACGTAGTCCAGCCCCAGTCGGGCGAGGCTCTCGTCTATGCTCCGTGTCACGCGGTCGGCGGAGAAGTCGAAACCCTCGTCTTTGTAGCGGCCGCACTTGGTGGCGACGACGACTCGATCCCGCGGAACGGCCGCGTGGCGGAGGCAGTCGCCGAGGACTGACTCCGAGATCGTACCGCCGTAGTACCTGAGAGCGCGGGTGGGCGGTCAGACCAGTGGCATCAGTCAGCGGAGGAGGAGAGGAGAGGGGACTAGGCGAGGAAACGAAAGGGAGTGAGGAGTTCCGTACGGTGAGGTATCGAAGAAGTTGATGCCGAGGTCGAGCGCGCGGCGGACGGCGGCGCGGGCGGCGTCGCGGGGCACGTCCCCAAAAACGTTGCCGAGCGGGGAGGCACCAAAGCCGACGGCGCTGACGCGGAGGCCCGTACCGCCCAGCTCGCGGAGCTCCATGGCTCGTCAGGCTCAGGCTTTTGCTGATAGGCGCGCGCGACGGATTGGAGTTGGAGGGGAGGGGACTGGAGTGGGTGCGCGAGTGTGCGCGCCACGGATGGAGTCCATCTACGTCAAGGTCAAGGTTATATATGTCACTGACATATGGGTCACGGAATGACCGGACCATGTCGATGACAAAGTTGGGCTGCTTGATGTCTTGCCAGCTAGGCAGCTACTGTACCACCTTCTTATTGGATTCTTAGCGAGTGCGGGTCAAGTGACGCTAGACGATCGTGTTTATTATTTTTTGGAAGTTGCCACCTCCAAGACAAGCTTAAACGCTGTGATTCCGTAAAAGCTGGCAACGAGATTGTGCAATTCTCCGATAAAGATATTATTTAGGGATCTTGTCCTTGTCCCCATCGGTGTAGGCGAAAAGCAACTCTAAGTAAAAGCGAGGCATTGAGAGCGTCAAGTTGATTGGCCGAGTCAAAGTATAGTGCTCACCTTGAACCTACCTCGAGGGATAGTCCGGGCTGGGCTTGGGAGCTAGCGAGAGAATCGATAGTCCTTGAACTTGGCAACTCGCCTCAGTGGGGTGGTTGGCAAGCCACCGAACTTGGGAGAAATATTATCATGTCATCCATTGTCTCCCGTGTGGTTTGCACTCCCTGATAGTAGCTCTTTACTTGTAATATCTTGGGCTAGTGTTGCTGCTCTTGTACTAGTGTAGCTAGTTGTAGTTGCTTACCATTGCTCACTAGTATATGCAGGAGAGCTCACTTGTGCTAGTTTATGCTCTAGTAGCTTAGGTTGTGTGACCTTGCTACCTAGATCTTGTGTAGGTGAGATCCCACCACCAACTCAGCACCATAGTTGTTACCTTGATTAATATTTTTTGTAGGGGTCATGTGAACATAGGTAGAGGAGTGTAGTCATGGCTAGATCGACGAGGTTAATTCTACATTTGTTTCGATTAGCCAAAGTGATTAAGTTTTAGATACAACTATTCACCCCACCTCTCACCCCCAGTCGGCCATCTCAACCTTACATCATGCTCCAGCGTTAACTCTAGGACGCCAACAACCCAGCTCACCAACGACCCAAGTGCTTCTGCAGCATCCTAAACAGTGAACATGGCCCATTTCATCCCCTCTCCCTTCGACTCCAACCTTTTCCCCAAACCATAACCATGGACTGTGTTCTTGATTTTTTATGGAATTTTTCGGTAAAAGGGAAGCTTTGCAAGAGGGACATGGGGAGAAGACGATTCGCATCAAATTGGGTTCGGGAGGATCGGATCAAGGGGCAAGTGTACTTCCTTCCTTCTCCTTCGAGCTCTTTAATTTCATATTTTTGTTGATGTATTCTTTTTCCATTTACATTTCCTATCCATTTTGCTAAACCAAACAAATAACCATATTGATTTCTCTATAATAGGTAGCAGTGGAAATGAGTTCTGTTGTTGTTACCGTCCCTTTTGCTAAACCAAATAATACTTTAGCTGTTTAAAATCGTTCATGAAAGAGATCGGATAAGCTGTTGAACACAGGCGCTAAGGATAAAGACGATAGTCCATTAAAGTTGGTTCAATTATAGTGGAAATAATGTATATCACTTCTAGACGGGACAATCGATGTTAACACCAGTCATTTGTCACTCATCATATGTAAGTGACAAAGGACATAAAGTTGATGCACTTTGGTTACATCTGCCACTAAGGCTTAAGCAGTGATGGGTCCATTTTTGTGGACACCACAATTTTACTATTTTCAAGTGGTTTGCATGAAACTAATACTGTGATAGATAAAGCAAATTAAAGTACTTCTCATATCATAACATTAAACTTCATTCCACGGTCCAATGGCGGAGCGAAAGACGATATCATTTGGACAAGCTTTGAACATGAATTACATTTAGATCCTCAACCCAACAAACTGAGTAATGATTCCAAATATTTAATTATTGCATGCCATTTATGTGATTTATAGCACCACATGTGTATTTAAAGAACTCTAGTCAACTGAATTTCTTTATGAAGTTGATTATGTGCTCACTAACTTCATTTGGTTTTTCTTCGTTGATAAAGTGCCCAACATCTTTCATGACGACAATATCATCGTCAAGAAGTGGAGCAAACTTTTTGAAGCCACCCTTGTGAATGAAATCTTGTATGCCAGGATTATGGTACGTCAAATCCAAATCTCCAATGATGAACTTGACAGGTACATTTATCTTAGCTAAAGTCCATGGTGATGTGAGCTCCCATGTCCTAAATATACACAGATTAGGATTTTATTACGTTGGAATGTGTAATCCATGAAATTGATAATGCACATAATCTACAATATCAATTAACTGTAAGCAGCATATAATTAAATAAATCATATCTAAATAGTATTAATATACTTCCTCTAATCAGAACTATAAATCTATCTTAGTTGTCTTAAGTCAACCTCAGTCAGCTTCGCTAAGCAATATCTAGACTTATTGTCTTACATAAAAAGTTTTATATTGTGAAAGAACTTTTCATAATGGTTCTAGTAATGTCAATATGTATAGAAGTTTCTATATTAATGGTCAACTTAAAAGAGTTTGACTTTGGATGAACCTTACTAGACCTACAACCTTTATCAAAGTAAATATATGTAAGTTATTTGTTTGTTAAAATAGAGCCATTCTCACTATACTAACCAACTTTATTAGTTCTTATGGAAGGGTGTTGGTTCTGGTTTCTTCGTGGGCTGCTATATTTTTTTCACTTCTAGTTTATAATAATAATGTTGCTTATTTATCTATTAAGTACCAATGTTTCAAATACAGATTAATTAAATGCATTAATTAAGTCAATCTTCTAAAATATCCCCCCTCAAAACTTATGAGACACAACAGAGAAAACTATGTACCAACTTTATATGAGAAATATAATATCATCATTTGACAAGGCTAACAGCTCATGAACCCGTCAGCTGGTTACTCTTTCCGTTCTAAATTATAGTTTATTTAGTTTTGTTCTAAGGCAAACTTCTCTTAATTTAACCAAGTATATAGGAAAATGCACTAACATCTACAACATCAAGATAGTTGCATTAAATTCTACATTAAAATATTTTTGACATTGCATTTATTTGAAATTTTAGATTTTAATATGTTTAAAATAACATGTAAGTTAGAGAAATTTAACTTAGGACAAAACGACAGTAAACTTTAATTTGAAATGGAGGAAGTATCAAATAACAAACATACTTATTCAGGGCACGGTAGTAGTTGAGTCCTCCAGTGAAGCCGGTCTTCTCAAACTTGCTGGTGTAGTATTTGAGGTCCTCCTCCGTTACCCAGCTCGGCAAAGGTACTTCATCGTCTGGTGAGCCCCAACCACTCTTTGGAAATAACAACGGTCCAGGGGAGCGATAACTAAAGAACTTCTTGAGCACTAGCTCAGTGCCAAGGCGTGCGAATTCTGCTTCAGTTTCTCCGGGCTCCTACATATAATATCCATTATTATCATAGTTAGTTACTAGCTAAAAGATAGTGTTGCTAGCCTGAAAGGCATGTATACATCGTTACACTTTGTGTGCCTCAAAAATACCAATAATTGCCATCTTTTTTGAAGTGGAACAAAACGTATGACATGACAAATTGATTCATGCAAGAGAATTAAGCATACCTAAGAATTCCGCTATATGAAAAGGGTTTGGATCAAGGACCTTGAAAATAAGGCAGAACAAACATATTGAAGTGATTGGTTTAGCTCAAGTTTGTCATGGTAGTTCCAAACAACCCTTGGAAGATTTCATGGATAGGACTTATACAATCCAGTCCAAAGGAAAATTAATTTTGCCTTTTTCCCATCCTCTTTCTCATTTGTTCCTTCTGTCCTTGCATTTTCTCATTCTTTAGTCTAAGGTACGGTGGAGGTGAAAAGGGATTGGTGACGAGGTTTCCCACTTAAAACTGATAGTGTGATATTGTGAACATGGCTCAGGCATGTATGATCGATGCAAACCCTAGTTCCCATGCATGATGGGACTGATGGAGTCATCAAGGGTCGATAGGACAATGTCGGAGGAGGTACGGGAAACATGGTGACGTCGGTAGGAACCACTACTACAAATGCTGTCATAGGCAATTTTGATGGAACTTTGGGTGAAATGGAAAATGTGATGCATGCAACGTATAAAGCAGGGGTGTGTGGGGTAGAGCTTCTCTACCAGCTTCACAAAGTTGTTTTCAGCTTTTCCTGCTAAACGCGTTTTTTTAACTCCCCTCACACGCACGGTTCTCTAGGTAAAGTGAGGTGAATCTGAAAATACTAGCTTCTCCCAGCTTTCTCTCTGCTATCTTCCCTAAAAAAGTTGTTTTACCAAACGTTTATGAAAATGGTTTCAGCTCTACCAATAAAGCTGTTTTTAGAGCTAAAACTAACAAAAGCTGATTCGCTAGTGAAATTGAGCTGTACCAAACATATGCCCTAAGATGAGTAGTTTTATCTGAAGGCCACTGTGGTGAAAGCTTCAAAGAATGACTTGCCATAGCTAGATTTTACTCTTAGGGGCAACTTTTCAATCTAAATGTCCTGTTTGTAGAGATAAACAAGGCTTTTGGATTACATGTACCGATGGAGGCAGCCATTTAATGAAAACAAGTTTGTTCTAGATTACGAGTAAGAGAATTTTTTAGCATGGTCTCAAATGGGAACCTTGGAAGCATAAAAGTGATTCCCTCATTGTAGTTCTGCATGACGGCTTTTTCAAGCGCCCATCCAAGGCTATAAGATTGCCCTGGCTCTAGGTTTGCATATCGACTAGTAAATTTATCACGCATGGTGCCAAAAGAGAAACGGCCAATGCCTGTTTCCTGAGAGAAGTCACGCGGGCGGTACAGGAGTTTGTTGGATGATTGCCGGGCAACTCCTGTGTTTGAATCCTCAAGGTATGCTAAGCCTTCTGCTTAAGCTTGACACAAATGAGGGAGTGCAATTTCTTTTACTACTCCGCAGAACATTGTAGGTATTTAACAATATCACGCATGAATCTGATAAATTGTTCTGTACATGATCTATCCGGTTTCTTTTTGCATGTACTGGAGAGAACTATGCAACATCCGACAGCAGCAGAATTCCTTTTGGTGCCAAACCTAAGCTTCCGGTGTTGAAATTCTATGGCTGCAAGGAATGCACACGCCTTCAGGGAGAGAGTCTGCGATCTAGAAGCCGCCTAAAACCGGGCTGGCTAAAAGCTAATGTTGATGGGGCATTCAAGTGCAGGTCAGATCAGGGGAAGCTAGGCTTTGTATTGCGAGCGAGACAGGTTCTCTCGAGCTCACGCCGCTAAATTAACCATTGACTCAGATGTCGAGGATCGCACGCAGGCAAGGCGATATGCTTGCGGCACAAATAGGATGAAAACAGCACGGATATTACCGATATGCATCTGTCTAAAGGGGTTCAAACACAAAATGAATAATCTGAATATGAATATGGACATTTAATATCCATATCTTATTTAGATATGTACTCCACCTAGAATATGATCAAACACCACCTAGACGTGCGATCCTTTTTAAGTACAAAACAGAAATCCTTTTTAAGTACTAGTATAAATCCTTTTTAAGTACTTGTATAAATCAGAAAACACCGTCTAGGTGGTGTTTTTTCCTAGAATTTAGAGTCGTATGTGACGCCTATTAATACAACTGATAAAAGAGAATAGAGCATTTATTAGCAGTTGGCATTTCACTTTGCGGGACTGTAATTTGAATTCTGAGCAATAAATACAGCTGTATTTTTTCTTAAAAAAGATGGGATTTTTTTGACAACATAAAAAAAAAGATGGTTGGACATCTCTAGCAGGTGCCTTGTAGCTAAAGTATAAAGATGTCCTAAACAAAGTTCAGGTGCCTTGTAGCTGAAGTATAAAGGATGTCCTAAACAAAGTTGATTTGGACCAGAAATGGGTACATGATTATTATTTGAGCTCGATGTAATGATCTTGAATTAATTAAATTCTTCCTTTATTAAAAAGAAACAAATTAAATGAAGTTGATTCTTTCAGATTGCCTACGGAAAGGATACTAACGAAGACAGAGACCAATATAGAGCAAGAGATTACTGTTGGCAGAGTTCTTAAGCAAAGTATAACATTCGTCACGGCCTTACACCAAATACTTTGGATTGAATACGTAAAAGGCTAAAGCGTGCAAGGAATCGGAGAACGAACAAAGGAAAGCATCATCGCACTGGTTCAAAGATCGTAAGCGGAGCCAGAAAGTTGATTTTTTTTAATGTTAAGGGGGGCCAACAGTGTTGAATTTTTAAAATTTATTTAAATTTAAAATTTTTAGTGGAAAATTCAAATTCATAGGGGGGCCTAGGCCCCTGCCCGCCCCCTTGTCTCCGCCCCTGTTCAACATGCATGTTAATCAAAGGCTGATTGTTTTGGGTAATCCTTGGCGTCACATGCTTTTTCATGTTCAAAAGATAGATCTAGACGATAGTGATTAACAACATGAATGTTGATTTATGTAGTAGCAACTGCCAACTACGGCAACTTTTTGGAGATTGTTGAAATCCAACTACGCCCTGTTCGTTTGGCTTATAAGCCATACTTTTTCAGCCAACGAACAATATTTTTCTCTCACAGCAAATCAGCCAACAGTACTTTCAGCCATGGCTTATCAGCTAAACGAATAGAGCAATGAACAGATTGGCATGCAAGCAATTTGCATTGGTGGAAGATGACGACGATATGACAGTAAAAAATTGGAGATTGCGCTGGGCTTCGAGATATTTCTAATGCCGCATCTGCAGATGGATGATCGTATCATTGCTCATTGGTCCTCTCTGATAACTGTTCAGTAGTGAAGTGGTTAATCAGGTTCGTCTACACACTGCTGGGGAAAAGCAGTTCAACATATGTTTACCGTAATTTTAGTTGTTGTTAATAAGACCCTGATATTGTGTAGGCAGCAGCCAGATATTATATTAATTGCTATATAAGTTGGACTTGTTTTTGCCGGACACAAACAGTTGAAGGCACTTTATATTGATCAAGTTCTACTTACAGTAAACTCCCATTGCGTTCTAAGATCGATTGTATTGGTTAAAAGACAATTAAAGAAAGAAGGAAAACTTATAAGACGTTTTGATTTTTCCAGATATATTGTTTTTACTATGTATCTAGACATAGTGTATATATATGGTAACTCCTATTCCAAGCAAAAGGGTTGCACTGTGTAAGTAATTTAATCTGTGGACGCCTCACTATCCCTCGCCTAGTGTGTCAGTCATGACGCATCGTTGTAACTTGCACTATTTCTCGATCTCAATACAAAGATACGCAAACCTTTTGCATATTTGAGAAAAAAAATCGGTGTCCGCCGTAACTTATTAGGATGAAGCTGCACTGAAAATAGACAATGCAACTACAAATATCATAAGGCTTAGCTTGTTTTGGATTCCTTATGAACGATAGTGACGGAAATAGACGGGACAAGTCTAGCACGCGCTAGTTGCAATGCTGAGACATGGAAAAGGACATGTGCGCACTAGACACTACCCGTGAAAAGCGACCAAAGTAAGAGCGCGGGCAAAGCAGGTATAGATGCATGACTTTGGACGAAGAACAAGAGTAGTGCAACGCTAGGGATTCTATCACATCACACCCGTCTTCCTCTTAAAAAAAATGAAAAAAAAAATGTCAATCAACACACGAAGCAAGATATAATAGTAAGCAATATCAAGCATGGCAAGGGTGCATGTGCCCCATGGGTGTGCAGGACGTGCAACCGTACAGGGCCTCAGATTTTTTTGGGGCCTCAAATTAATTTACAGTCTATGAGGAGTCTGGAAATTGCTGTGATACTGCATCGGTCAACCCGCACTTGCATGTCCATCTGCCGACCAAACTCGTCGAACTGATAGCCGTCTAATTGATCTACGTCGTTCTGCCACTCTGTCGTTTGTTATCTCCCAGTCTCCGCTATAGGCCTGGAAATCTCAAGTCTGCGTAGAGGCTGTGTGGGCTGCCTGTCCGTAGTGCCCCAAGCTACTTGGTATTGTCTTATATAGTTTTGTATATTGTTGTAATTATTTCTTTTGATTGGGGTTCTGGGATTCAAATGACAAAATATTTCGGACCTAACCGAAATGGGTGAATCTCGGAAATTTTGGTAATTTCGGACTGGTTTTCACTTGTTTTGACCGGTCAAACTATTCAGATTTAGCTTATATTTGACGGAATTTTGGCCAAAATTTGATCAAAAAGCATGAAGATGAAATGAACTAATTATAGCTTGTTAAGTTTGCAATTCTATATTGAAATAAGAACCTGTAGGGGCATGTCTGAACTCTAGACTACTGAAAAATTGAAAATTTCTGGCTATTTCGGACCTCATCGAAATGGGTGAATTTCACCGAAATTCAGTCATTTCGGGGCGAATCCCAGAACCATATGATTGCTAAACTTTCGCCCATTTGCATAGAACTTCACTGCTAGAATTATTTCTTTTAGAGGTTTGCTATATAAAACATTTCTTTAAGAAAAGAGTATATTTTAGCATATGTATTATTGTCATTCTATTTTTCTAAACCGGGTAGGGCCTATTTTAAAATTTAGAACAAGCCCCCAGATTTTGCCGGCACAGCCCTGGGTGCATCACATGCAGGTAGTTTAATTTTAGAGGTACCTGGATTCGGCAGATGTAGTAGTCGTCGCCGAAGAGCGCCATGAGCCCGTCGACGGGCTTCCGCGCGGCGCTGCGGGGCGTGTAGGCGACGCTGAGCGCGACGAGCGCGCGCACCCTGTCGGGCCGGAACAGGCAGAGACTCCACGCGATGAGCGCGCCCCAGTCGTGCGCGGCCACGAACACCTGCTTCTTCTCGCCGCCGAGGACGTCGTCGATGAGCGCCACCAGGTCCCCCACCACGTGCAGCGCCGTGTACTGCCCGGGGTCCGCCACCGCGGGCGCGTCGGAGTCGCCGTACCCGCGTAGGTCCGGCGCCACGGCGCGGTACCCGGCCGCGGCCAGCGCGCGCATCTGGTGGCGCCAGGTGTACCACAGCTCCGGGAAGCCGTGCAGCAGCAGCACCGTGGGCGCGGCTGAGGACGATGGGCCGGCCTCCGCCAGGTGCAGGCGCACGCCGGTGCTTAGCTCCACGGTGCGGTGGGTGATGGTCGTCGTCTGATCGTCGGCGCTGGCTGTAGCGGCGGCCATTATCGGCGGCTCTTCTTGGTTAGGCTTAGGCTTGTCGAAGCAGCAGGAGCAGAGGCCGCGGAGGCAGGATGTGCCCATGAACAATGGACACCGCATGCACTAGGCACTAGCTAGCTTTGCTACTTGCTAGTGGGATTTTCCGTGGTGGCGCAGGAAGCTACAGGACAGGACAGGACAGGTCCTTGTCGTGTGCGCTCTCGCTCTCGCTCTCCGGCCTGCTTTATTTTGTTTTGGTGGGAGACCAGTGACAGTGTGGATGGAGGAGACTAGAGCTAGGAGGAGCCGAGAATCGCATGTGGTGTGGGGATGAACCATCCAACTGATCCAATAGCATATGTTGTCCCTGACTCCCTGGTGGTGTGTACGCATCTTTTGTGGCCGTTAAGATGCCCCCATCTCTCTGGGCAAGTACCGTGGGTGTGGGAACAACTTTATTCTCCTCGTGTAGTAGGTGTAGGTCCACTGACATGAGCTGTGACTGAATGTGTGCTAGGTAAGGTTCCTATTTAACGAAAGCAAAGTATATATACTGGACCATGTGCAAGTATGCGCATTTCTTTTTTCGAAATGATAATCAACAGATGTTCTTAGTAAAATCTTCAACAGTCGACTAGTGGCATAATGCACAAGACTTAGCCATTAAGAAATGCCAGCTGTTCAGTATTTTTATTCGTCTTCGACGGAGCTCGTGGATGGCGTGACCCTTGGCTTTGAGGAGGTTCAAAATCACCAATACACATAACATGGAATCCCTATCGGTCTATCACTACCGTGTGTACTAGAATCAACAGTAATCCAGCTTCATTGACAGGTCATAAGACATAGGATCCATAAAATGATTGTGATCCTATTGACCTAGGAGTGAAGCCTGCTATCACTGTCGGAATTGGCAGTACTGCAGGTGTTAGACACATTGATATGTCGGATTTCACTGCTGGTTTGGAAAATCACTCGGCAGTTACATTCAAATGTTTAATTGTGATTTGACCTGGCAGCGGCACAAGGTCTTCACTATGAGATTTTTCATTGACTTGACAATGATAGGGACCATTGGATCCACCACATCTATTAGTTGCTTCTCTACCATCAAATCCAATTACCACCATTGCTTATGTTTATAAAAAAATGTGTTAATTAATATTTTTGTAATGACATATATTGGTAATTTGAATGCAAATGTAGTGGTTAGTTTACATTACCTTTCATAAGAGTATATGAAGATAATTTAGCATATGATAGAAGTGGGTAATTTATATACAAATTTAGGTGGCCTATTGTGAATTATCTTTTTAAAATGGCGAAGGTGGGTAATATACAAACTTAGAGGGTTATTTTGAATTATCTTTAATACTGATAGAGGTGGACAATTTATATATAAATTTAGAGGGCTACATTGAATTATCTTTCATGCACCAATTAATAATGCTAGGGATGGGGAATTTAGAACCAATGGGTTACTTTATGTATTATAATAACAAAGGTGGATATTTTTTATGAAACAAAGTAGATCGAATGTCTATTATTTATTATGACGATTAGACTCTAGCAAATTAAAGCTCGATAGTTTGGATTATTATGAAAATTTCTAGGATTTATCTTCTTTTCTCTAGCGTATCTAATGAGAATTAATGTGGAAGCTCTATTAGAGCCCCAAATTGGTAATAGTAAAGATAAATGCTTCTGGGCACACGCAGATTGTTCCGCATGGACAACTTAGGTCCCCTGCCCATAGTCCCACACGGATTTAGTAACACACTAGATGATTGCTTCACCATTTGTAGTCTCAATATATGCTCTCTGTAGGAGGAACTCTCTTGCCAGGAGAAAGTCCTCCAGAACTTTGAAATAAACATCAAATAAATCAAATTGTTACAAAAATTATAGTTTCTATATGAAACCTTTTTAGGGATGTTATAATATTGTATGTTAATCCCTGACCAAGTTTTGGATTTTTTAAAACATTTTGGTACTATTAAATTACAGAAAATATGAAATGACAAAACAATAAAATTATAAAGTATACAAATATCTGATTTTTTGTTTCTAACATGTAGCATTGAAATGCAACACTACACTCATCTGTGTATTTTATTGAAATTTAAGGATCGTTTTAACAAGGCATGTAGTTTAAATTTGAAGTCATTAAATAAATAGACAAAAATATATTTTAATACTCAAAAATATAATTTGTGTAAAGATATTTATATAAACTAAGAATACAATCTGTTAGTCCGATCGTCCTCTCTATAACCCTACCTCTCCTGCCTATATAAAGGAGGGCAGGGACCTCGAGCACGGGATCCATCTTCCGCCGTCCCAATCTACCTCGTAGCTAGGAGCAACAACCCATGTAACTGAGTATACGAATACAAGAGCAGCAGTACCACTGGAGTAGGGATTAGCGCGCACCGTGCTCCGAACCAGTATAAATCCGTGTGTCTCGTGTACTATCATCTGGATCCGTCTACGCGATCACATTACTAGGCATTGCGGGAGCTAAACAATCCGACAATTGGCATGTGGTGCGGTCGTACTAATGTATCCAAATATACTTCATTTTGTTTTAGGTATAATATTTAGGTACACATAAATATTTCTTTTTCTTGTGTTTTGTATATACATAATAAATACCATTTTTATATATGGCATGGAGTCATCACCTTAAAAAAGAAAAAAACAGTATGAACGCGTACGTACTACCATATATATATATGGACATATAAACTCCCAGCCTGTGTGCAATTTTAAAAACACCGGAGTGCCTGATCCTAATCCGTAAAGGATTTGGTGGTTGCTTTTGACAAACCCGATTAGAACAGAGATCCCTGTGTGGTTGAGTAGATACGGGTGGCAGGAAAAAATATCATGGCGGAAACTTTGACAAGTAAAATAAAATTTTGTCTAATTTATTTTCTATTTGAATTAGGATTTCTATTTCTATTCAGTTTATTTAGGTTCGGAGAGATCTATTTATCTAGGGTCATATAAGTCTAGATAGAAGAAACTCTCGACTTCCGGTAGTTAGGGGGAGGTAGACGAAAAAAATAGATGGACGAAAAAAATGGCCGAAAATTTTACCTCTTTATTATTAGGTATAGATTTTATTTTATGTCAATGTTAGATTCTATATAAATTTATAAATAAAAAAATATGTCAATCGGAGTCGGATGGGTGATATACGAATTTTGAAAGGTTTGCTGTTAGTTTCATTTCTTGAAAAAGAAAAAAAAACGAATTGTATAAATGGGTCCTGGCTTTTATCAGCACGTGTTGTGCTGCTGGTGGGGAGCTGTGGCCACTACTGGGATGATGGGCCAAGGCTAGGAAAAGAAGGGAAATGAGTTGGGCCAACTTGGATCCAAAGTGTAGGGGAGAGAAAAGGAGAGGGAGTAGGAGATGGCTGTTGGGCCGCCGCCGACTGATAGAAGAGTCGGCGAGTGGCAGATAGAAAAAGTGGACGGCGGCAACGTTGGATTAGATTTTATCAGTCAGTTAATAGTGTTTTTCTCTCGTAATAAATTCCCAGAATCATGCACGTGCGGCATGCGCAGAAGGTAGCAAACCGGCCGGACATGAGCAGCGCGTGATGATTGTAATAAAGCACGTACGGCGCCGGCTGATCTCATCGATCACGCGAACACACGTGTCCCCATTATCGGAGGAGTGGAGCAGGTGTTCGGACTGAACCTAAACTCCCTTGGACAATGCTGACGGCAGACCTTGATGCTGAAGGCATCTGCACACTTGGATGATGCAGCTAGGCATATGGAGAACGTGGACTGATCGACCGAATTTTTTTATTTTTAGCCTTTTTTTTAAAATTTTCACAAATATGTTCCTGAAAGAAATATTTCAAAAATCTGAACCTTTATCTCGGTGTCATCGTTGCTGCCACCGAGCTTACACTGCTCGACGCTAGGTCTTGGGCTCGACGCAGACGTGGTAGTGACTTAGCAGACAGCTCGACGCCATAGATCCTTACGCCGATTTTGGCGGCGTAGAGTGCCCTGCTCTGCGTTGCATTGCATTTATTATCCCGTCACTACCGGATGGCATTGCCTGCTGCTACGACCTGCTCGTCGTCACATCATCATAAATATCGATATTTACTCATGATGTGGTGCTCCATGACCAAGGCTTTGTTTAGATTGGGGTTAGGAATCAGTATTTGGCACTGTAGCACTTTCGTTTGTATTTGACAATTATTGTCCAATCATGGCCTAATTAGGCTCAAAAGATTCGTCTCGTAATTTACAATCAAACTGTGTAATTAGTTATTTTTTATCTACATTTAATATTCTATGCACGTGTCTAAAGATTTAATGTGATAAAAAGAGGATGAAAAAACTTGCAATCTAAACGAGGTCTGGTTTCATTGAATCACCGGTCGAGCATGCTGCGAGGACACTAGTGCAGTCTGTAGCTGTGAGCGCCTGGGTGTTCGGTCTCTCTTTCTGTGTTCGTTCTGGGAATCAGTTTCTCGTCAGGGCTACTTGCCTCTACTGCTCGGTCTTGCAGGTGTGTCGTCGAGCAGTTGCTTGCCATGGATTCCAGGTGCAAATACCCCGCAGAGCAGCAGCTGCTTGCATTTCTTCTCTGTACAGATCAACTGAAATTTGCAGGTTCTGTCTAGCAGCAAGTGCTTGCCTTGATCGTGATTTTTGTTTCTCCATCTATTATTGTGTTGTCAGCCTCAGCTACAAGAAGTAATCACTGTATGGTCATCTATTTATTTCAAGTCAAGTGCAAGTGATTGATCATATTTCCTACAGTGAGCTCATGGTTGTTTTTGTTAGCAGCCCAAATGTTGGTCTATTTTTGGAGCTTGCTTCTCCTTCTGTAGCTTGGTTGTTTGAGCTCCGTTTCGTGTTCTGTCTGCTGCGTTGGCTTTCTAATGTTCCGACGAATTTTAGTAGGTACTCTTGTCACTAGTTGGCTTGAGTATTTGAGTTCCGGAACTCGTTTGTGCTTGGTGGTGTTTTGGGACAGCGGCCGAAAAA